GAATATGCCCAATGTAAATAAGTTAATTTCAGTGAAGATTCCGCTTATAATGTTTATAGATTTTGCATGTTTTATTTGGTAATTTAATGGTATTTTACCTTGAGTATTGATATTAAATTGATGACATGGTTTTTTCAGGTAGGAAAGAAACCGCCATAAATATAACTATTTCCCAGCTTTTTAAATTCCACAAGAATTAATAACATAAAAGTATGTAAAGTAACAAAGAGTAGATAATGAAAGAGGTGGGAAAATGTCAACGATAAAGGGGAATGGTGGAAAAAAATACGGCTACAGTATAGGCATCTGTGCCTTACCTCAAAGTTACGAAGTCTCAGAAAATGTCATGATGGCTCATGCATTTGTCATCATATTGTAAGTAATTCAAGGCCAGAGTCTGTGACTATTGTCTTCTCTAAACTTTCCTACAACACTAAGCTTAGTAAACAATCAAAATATGTGGTCTGATGAATGGGAGAGGAAGTTGAGGAGAAAGTGAAATAGTGAGATTGGAGATATGTGATGGTGAGAAAAGGAAAAGGAAATCAAGAAGTAAAGGAAGCCTTGCCTAGCTAATCCTTTATAGAACTGGAGTGTTTAGAAGGGGATCAGATGTCACGGAGGAGCATGGCATGGTTTGCAGGCAGGCCATAATGCAGGCAGGCCATAATGAGTCCAAGGAAGCACAGATACTAGTAGGGCAAATAGCATCTTGCCCTTGCCCAGTTGGGTTACATGAGCTCATAAGTTTCTTTTGGTCTAGGTTAGTTGGAGTTGGACATTTTCTCATTGGAACAAAGTGTCTTATTTAAACAAAAACTAGGCCAGCTGAGTGGCTCAGTTGGTTAAGAGCTCTCTCAAGGGTTTGAGCTTGAGCAACAGCGGTTCGAGTCCGGCCCAAGCTGAGCTGCCGCTGAGCTGCCAACAGGTGGCAGGATGGCTCAGCTAAAAAAAACAAAAACAAAAACAAAACACCAACATTACATTTAAGGAGAGAAAATTAAAAGAATTAATTAAGGATAAAAATCCATACTTATTTAGAATAATTTTAGTTTATTTATTCAAGGGAAAGTGTTGGGCCTTGCCTTGTCCACTCCTCATGTCGCCTGCTGGGGATCTGACCAGAGATGTACGTGGTTTGCCCTGTCCCTCAGGTGGCCCAGTTAGCTGGCACCACTCCCCCAGCCCTGACAGGAGTCAGGGTATGTGCCCTGATGCTGTGGGAGCATAAATCCTAGCTTAGGCTCTGTTATTCATGCTGTCTCTCTGGAACCGGTTTCCCAACTTAGCAGGGAGGATGGGCAACTCTGACGAAGAGAAGGTATTGGTTACCCAGTGTCCTTTCCATCCTTCCACTGTTAGGCCAAGCTGACCACCATTTCCTGTGCATCCAGTGAACAGTAAAGGCAAACTTTGGATAGCTCAGCTCCATTGTGGAAATCACCAGAATCCTCCTTGCCTCACTCCCAACCCTTTCTAGTCTGCTTCTGTTTAATTCCTGCCTCTAATTTGTGTCCCAGATTCTTTGACTCCTTTCCTGCTCCTTTGGTCTTCACAGTTAATCTTGGTTTCTCCTATTTAACCAGAGAACTCCCTAAGAACTTTTCCTCACATTTTCCCTACTCCCCCCAGCCCACTGGGTTCTTCTTGCTCACGTTCCAGCCCCACTGAGAACACAAATCTTGACCTTAATTCATTTGCCTGCCTCTGCAGACCTATCTAGCCCTGAAGTCAGAGGGTTGGGTATGAGCAAAGAGGACGGATGGACGTCCATCTGGAATGGCACAGGGTGGGTTATGAACAGAAAGGCACATTCACGTGGAGTAAAAGGTCATTGGTCACCACTCATAACAAGATGGAGGAATTTCCTGCCCGGGAAAGAAACAATCTGTATCTTCTGCTATGCCATAACCTAAAATAGATTTCTTATGCTTTTTATTGATAAAACTTGTATTTCTTTTCTCCCCAGGCCCCTGAGAGAACAAAGAAGAGAGGAGCCCAGAGCTGAGGCAGAAAGAGCTGCTGGGAGGATTTCGATGACCTGCTGGGCACTTTCCCGGGTATTCCTTCACCCTCCAAATCAGGACCACTTTCTCTCTTCCACCTCCAGTTGCTTGTTAGTTCAATTATGATTGTTCTCGGTGTCCTTCCAGATTGGAGTTAAGGCAGCTAAAAATAAAACGCACGTACAATAGGACAATTTCAAATAAGGATAAAAAGTGATATCAGAATCCATTAGATGGAAGGTGAGAAAAACATAATTAAACCGGGAAACTTGGGGAGAAAATGGAAAATGAACAATTCTCTGTTTGGGTTCTGCTCTCATGATGAAAAAGACTGATTAGGTACTTGAATAAGGGTAGAACAGTGACTCTTATCTCAGCAGTTGATTGGTTTTTTCATGATTGTTGAGCATCTACTGGTGCCAAACACTGCTCAGGATACAGAGCTGCTAAGAATTTTTAATCCCTATCCTCAAGGTGCTCACACTCTATCTGGTCCCATTATAACCTTATGAAATGAGTAGCCATAAATTTCTATGTGTCTGACCCACCCACAACCTGCTCTGTGCCATAGCTCATGCCTCATGTAGTGAGTGAAACCAATTCTACCACCTACCAAAAATTACTGGACCAGGGATGTATGTCCAAGCCAAGATAGCCACACAGGCCCTGGACTTAAGGGATGTCAAATATTTCTAAGGACACTTGATGTGAGACTGCCTAATGTAATGCCTCCATACTGCATGGGGCTATACCAATTTTGGCAGATCACATTTTCTAAAGATGCTTACAACATATCTCCTATCCCATTTGCTCTTCCCACAATGTGACCTTGACACCGCTCTCAATGAGTGGTATTTATGTCTTCTCTCCCATGAACTTTGTGACTGCTCAAACAACAGAGTATGGCAGAAGTGATGGTATATGACGTCTGAGTCTAGCTTATAAAAGTGCCGTGTACTTCTACTTTGTTCTCTTGGGGTGCTTGTTCTTGGAACCAGGCTACCTTGCTGCATGGGAGCCCAAGAAGTCCATAGAGAGGTCTCTGTAGTGGGAACCAAGGCCCCTGGTCCACAGACCTGCTACGCTCCAAACCAACAGTCAGCACCAACTTGTCAGCCATGTGAGTGTACCAGCTATAAGTGGATTCCTCCAGCCCCAATGGAGGCACAGAGCTGATAGCTTGTAGAACAGAGAAGCCATTTCCAACTAAACCCTACCCACATTATAGACTCGTGAGCAAAATCAATGTTTGCTCCTGTATTAAGCTACTAAGTTTTGAGGTGGTTTGTTAGGCAGCAGTAGATAACCAAACACCAATCTAATCAGATTTTCTTCCTTAGGAAGTATGAATGCATACAGAGGTGGGCCTCTTGAACTCAGTATGAATCCCAATCTATTTTTCCTCTCCTACACAAATCCTATTTACATGCTAGTCTTGGCTTATTCTGAAAGGCAGAATGACTATGGCTGTGAAAGAGGGGATATTTTAGACTCCTTTAAATTCTTTCAAATTCTAGCCCTAAACACCTGTTCTGGAGAGTATCTGGGCATGCTTCTCCATTGCAACCTTAAAGAGCACAACTACTAGCCTGTTGACTTCAGCTCCAGCAAATGGGAATTTTATTTTTTCACTTGGTGACCAAACCCTTACCAGCACCTAGGTCCAGAAACTAGGTTTTCCTTATACCCTGGCTTTTTTCTCAGCATGATATACCATTTCTGCTGGCCCTGGGGTCGTGCCTTTACTGCCATCCTGCAACATCTGTTACTTCTTATCTCAGGCTGTGCCAACCTTCAGGCCTCCTTGACAATGATGGACACCTTCTTAAACATTTTCCTGTTGCTTATTGCTAGGGAAGCAGCACACCATAGTGATTTAAAATACGTGCTTTGGAGGTGGGGACACATGGGACAGGTTTGTAAGTTCTCTAAACTTACTTTCAAAGTATGTCCTGAGGATTAAAATGAAGTGATATATGTTAAGTGTTTAGCGCCTTATGCCCAGGATTGCTACCTCATTCAGTACCTAATATTCTTTCACCACTTTGAGAAACAGAACCCTTATTGTTGGGTGTAATGATGTGCCAAAACTATAGAAACCACATGCTGCCTTGCAGACAGGTTGGCCAATGAGATGTAGGCTGAATTGTCTCATTGGATGGGTGGGAAATCTCTTTAAAGTGGCTGACCTAGTTGGGAAGCTCAATCCCTCACCTCATGTTGGTTCCCTTTCTCCTTCTTGCGAATATCATCCTGGAGCTAGAGCAAGCATCTTGGATCATGGGGTTGCCCTGAGGATGGATGCTCTGCACTCAAGGAGGTGGAGGAGAATTAGGAGCCCAGGTCCCAGATGGCCATCGAGTTACCATACCAACTTACCTCTGTACTCTTTCACATGTGAGAAAAAAACCAGTCTTGTATAAAACAATTTTATTTTGTGTCTCTAGTATTAGAGGCTGAACTTAATTCCTAACTGATACAGGTAATAAATGCTAGTCAAGATTATTGTTCTCTCTTCACATCATTTCCCTAACTCTGTCTGCTCTTTAGGTGTGAGCAATCTCCAGGCTGATCTCTCCCACCATGTTAGTCACTTAGTCTTTCTGGTTAAATTGGAAGGGAAATACACACTGCAGCAGACTCAAGGGGTATATTGATGCCATTTTGACCAAGGTTTATTTTAGTTGGGACCACAGGGAGGAATCTTTCTGTTTGTCAATGTGCTGACTAGTTTTTGTGACCTGCAATAACGTATCCTTAGTCAAGAAAGTCTCCATATTATCTACATGTCGTAAACCCACCAGTCATAATATCAAGGTGTGAAAAATGAAATTAGATTTAAAGGCATGAAGAAAACGAGTAATCAGAAAACAAAGAAAAGATTTTATCTCTAAGATTTTTCTATTTTTTACTAAAAATATATTCTGAAATTACATTCTCATAGACAATTTAAAAATATTTTATAAAGAAGAAAAAAGACAAGAATGTGCAATACATAATATCTTTTAGATATGCAGAAAATCCAATTAATTTTTAGTCTGGACAATTTTGTATAAAGCAGGTCCAGTTCTATAAGAACTTTTTGAATTGGTATCGCTTCATTTATTTAAAGAGGCATATGGATCAAAAGAATGCAATTATGAAGGTATCAATTCTTCTTTTTCAGTCATAGACGTTAAAATAATTTTGCTGTAGGAAGATGCATAATTCACCCCTTTTCTTAGTCATTAGCATTTTAGTAAATAAATGTCTTACCTTCAAATAAATATTTATTCTAATATTGATATACATTAATTACACAGAAACTAACGTGGAAAATAGTCTTTCCTCTTACCTTATAATGCTTTATTTTTAAATTAAATTTAGAAATGCTTTTCAGTCTATCAATGCTGAATGAATAATTTAGCATATAAACAGGTACTCATTTTTATAAAAAAAAACACAAAAAACAAAAGCCATGCAGCTGACAATAGAATAATTTACACACATATATACATGTATACCTGACATTTATAAAGCCCTAAGTGATAAAGGAAAAATATTATTATATATATTTTAACATTCAAGTTAGAAGAAAAAACCTGAAGCTTTCAATCAGTGTTAAAACTTGGATACTTTTGCAAGTCAGTTCTAATCAGCAGCGATGGGACTGTTTCTTATATGGGGTTACAAAGTAGAATTTATATGTTGCTGGGACAAACGCCAAGTGATAAATATGACAACTGATGATCTTACTGATCCCCTGAGGAAATACTTTACATTATTGATTGTAAAAGGAGGGTCTAATACAGTGGTTGTTTTTTGTTGTTTTTTTACATTATTCTCGCTTAACTTTAAAAGCAAGATACACACATATTAAATTATTATTGATCTACCAGATTACTTTTTAACTTATTGAATAACTACAGTCCTTGCCCTTTCTGAAAGCTGAAATTTATTAAACATGCAGAGTTTTCATATGTTCCAGATGTTATTTATAATTTTAGGGGTTTCACTGAAGTCAGAGTCATATAATGATTACTCACTCTGATCTTTACATGTTGCTTACTATTTGTAATATCCACATATCACTCATTTAGTCCTTTCCATGCTGACAAAAGAAGTGAAAAATGTGAAGAATATGCTTTTTTTGTAAAAAGTCCAATTACTTATTGATAAAGTACCAAACACCAATGATGATAATGTGATGTGAACTCAGGAGTATGATAACAGAGCCCTCTGCACCTGAACTCTAATTGTAAAAAACAAAACCAAAAAAAACCAACAAAACAAAACAACAACAAAAAATATCTAGCTGCCTTTGGTTACCTTAAATAGTTCAACATTGTATTTCTAATCTTTTACGGAACTGAAATTAAAGTCTTTATGTTATTGTAAGCACTTTGGCTTAGTAATTTAACTTCTTAAAATACCATTTCAAAAAGAGCTTAGAGCATCTGCAGAGTTTATAAAAGAAAAAGTTTTATTTTTTATAATTGTATGGACTGCTGTTTCATAAACATGACATATTATTTAGAAAAGATAATAGGGCAAAAAACAAAACAAACAAAACCCACCAGGTATCTACAAATAACCAACCCCAAGAGGACTAAAAGGAAAATAAAATTGGTGGGCCAGACAAGACAGTATCAAGGCAAGGAAAAAGAGCTGCTCAAATAATGATAAAATAATAATAATAATTATAATAATAATTATAATTCTTCAGGCTATTGGTTGTTTGGGTCATGCAATTATTAATTACCAATTTGACTAATTTCACTCCACTCTATTATACAGTGACTCTTCTGGTTATTTAAGATTGAAGAAATATAGTCTACAAGTGAAGGTACTCTGACTGCCTGTTGTAGATACTAAATAAAAACCCCAGCATTCATCCTGAGTTGTCTTCTGAGTGTGAAAGTGTATCATGTGTAAATTTATTCTGTAGAAAATTTCAATGTTTTCCCCACGATGAGAATTTCAGCAGTGCCATCCCAGTGTGAAACCATGTCTTATCTCACTCCACTGTATTCAGAATTCGTACTAATTAAGACAGAAGTTGAAACTTAAATCCACATTTTATGTTTACTCAACATAAGGGCCTTCTTCCGGAGCTGGTGCAAAGTGATGGCATAAACAACCAAAATAAAAGAATAAACAAAAAAATTTTTTTAAAGTACTCATTTACATGGCTAGAGCTACAAGGGTGATCAGCTGCAGCATCTGCTACCCCATGGGTATCAAGGTTGATCTATGCTGTGTGCTTGTATTGGGATGACAATGACCTTCCCATTTGAGTTAAGATAGATATTTTTACATGTTTATTAAAACAAGTTTCCTGAGGAGTTCAACTAAGCAATCGTGTTAACCTAGTATGCTTAAAATGTACAAAAATGCAATAAAATGTTTATCTTCAAAATATTCTAAAGTCAGATTTTCCTCTGACTGGCTATCCAATTAGGACGAATGAATGAGATGTTTACTAGTGATCATCTGAAACATAAAATTAAGTTTTGGTTTTCAAAAATCCTTGAAATTATCATAAATCTATGATGTCTATTGACTGGATAATAATAAAAAACATACACAGTGCTAGACTTGACCCTTGACTTTTTGACCAATGCTAATATCATAGAGCTTTGCCAGAATGAACTATCTTTTTAAAAAGTGCCTTGTACACTGTGCGATTATAGAGGTTAGTATATTTTTCAGATATAAACTCAATAATAGGTGACTGAAGTTTGCTTCTTCTGGAATTTGAAGTTATTTTAAATACTGCTTTTACCATATAAAATATTGCTTTATCAAAGTGAGATTCCAAGACCTCTTTTATTTCTCAGAACTTATAAAGTCCATTGTTTGGTAATGTTGGGTGAAGTTCATAGGCCTGAGTGTTCAGCAAAAATCTTAGCCACCTAGAGAGAAAAAAGAAGCTGAGACTCTTCCAAGAGTCAAAATGTTGATGAGAAACAAACTTAAAATAACCGAATAGGCAGAAATGATGATTCAGAAAGTGGCAATTTTGGCATACATATCTGAGAGTCACTGGGGACCACAAATTGAATATGAGCATGCAAAACAGCAGTGGAAACAAAAGTGCCATATTAGGACATCCTAATGAGAATATGACAGATAAACCTGTTGAAGTTTGATATCACAAAGGCTGTCGTTTGCCAAAGCTGTGTGCAGCATCAAGATCACATAATAGCAGTGGTTAAACACAACCAGACAGTTCTATCTTTCATGGTGTGGAAAGACCTCCCTGATTTGGAACTCTGCCTTTAAAATTATGGGCATAGTTCAGAAGACAAATGCTAGCTAAACGGATTCTGAAAGGGAGGCGGCGGCAGTTTTTGTCAGGCATTAAGGCAGCCTGTCAAACACAAGACCCAAAATCTACCAGCAAATGTTTGGTGAACCTCATCTCCCCTCTGTTTATATGTGAAGTAGTAAAATAAATAAGGTTTCCATTCTCTGTTTCTTTACTGGAATAAAATACCAGGTGTTGTAGAAGACCTGAGGACCTCCCATATCCTAGATTGCTTTAAAGGTCAGAATTAGAAAATTAAGGATTAAATGGAGATTGAGTTTACGTGAGTGGGAGTGATAATCAGGACCTTCTGCATTTTGCGCCATTTCTTCTAGCACAAGGACATCAAAAAATATCATGCAGATATCAAGGATAATGTCATCTCTGATGGGCTGATAGTGACCTCCTCAAGAACTGTGTTGAAGAGGACATGAGGCTTGTCCCAGCTTGGCAGGAAAGAATACTGAGTTCGATAAGTGACATCTGCCACAGGCACAGATATTTCCTATTTCTATGTTTTGTTTCAAATGACCTTAAAAGTTTCAGACACATACAAGGATGATAGACGACCCCTCACCTATGCACACTCCCTACCCACATACCACATGCTAGGGAGCTGTGGTGAGAACAAGAATGAGCTTTGGGGAAATGTGAACAAGTAGGTGAAGGAAAACATTTGCTCTTTTACTGAAGGTTCCTATTCCTCTGAGAAGTTCTCACAGGTGACTGGATCTAACCAACTCGGAGTCCACAAGTCACCAAACAACATCTCCTCTGGACTGTGGACTCTCACCGTGTCTTCTTGGCAGGTAGAAATGAGCTTATCAAGCTCCTGGAATGGTGTATACATACAGTCAAACGCTTGCTTTGTTTGCTGTCTTTTCCATGACATACTGGCCTTGAGACAAGTTCCTGCTGAATGCAGTTGACCTATCAAAGGACTTTACTAATCAGAGGAAATTATCCACAGCTAATTAGGTAACAAGGTGACCTAGAAGAAAACCGTAGATAAAACAGCTGCCTGATTTAAACCCTGAGGACCGAAGCAGAAAGGTAATAAGGACGTAGAGAGCATGGCCAGAGTGAGAGCAGTCAGCTAGAGGCTGGCTGAGAGGAAGGAACACCCACTGATGACAGGCGAATGTATCCTATGGCTCCTCCACTCTCAGCGAGGAACGTCAGCCAGGCTTTTTCCTCCTACTTCTCAATCGCACATTCTTCCAAGCACAGGTGATGCCATCAATAGGAACAGTGGGTGTTGGAAGAAACAGCAAAAGGTTCTTGTGTCTATGTTGATCTGAAATTCATTAAATTTGTATCCTCTTCATCCTCTGTTGGCAGGCCCAGCAGTCTCCCTCCCGGGCTGCTTCTCTTGGAAAACATTAGCACCATTCATTTTTAGGATTCATTGTCACTGTAAAAAAAAAAAAAACAGAACAATAGTGTGTTTCCAAGAAGCTACCAAGAGCTGGTCACTCCACTATGGAGGTGACTCAAGACAGCCTAACAATCAGGAAGCCAAGAGTGTACAGGTCACAATTTCTGAAACAAAGGTCAATTTGGATTTTATATTGGGTCCCTAAGAAGAAAATCAATGAAAGCCAAGAAATAACCCCTAACTCTTGCTCTAATATCCTTCCTCAGTGCCAATGTGGAAAGAAAGATGGAATTGGGGGTTCTCCCCTTTATTTATTTTTATTTTATTTTATTATTTTTTTAAGATTTTATTGGGGAATTGGGGGAGGGGAACAAACAAGTTGCTGTCCTTTTGTTCTTCAGTCTAGTTGTGGAGGATGTTGCTTCACTGGCCCGTGTTGGTATTGTGATCATTGCATTCTTTTAGATTGAGGCAGATGGGTTGCTGACCATTGGATGGCCCCTCACGGTGGCTCACGGCAGCTCTCGCCGGCTGCCAGCCACTCACGGTAGCTCATGGCAGGTCCCACTGCAGCCTACACCGTCACCAGCAACTCATGGCAGCCCAGCTCCAGGTCAAGCTGTTGTTCACCATTTTAGCTGTACAGAGCGCAGTGTCACTGGCCCATGTGGGATCTGAACTGGTGGCCCAGCTGCTCAGAGTTTGCGTTCCCAAGCCAACTCTTAACCAACGAGCCACTAGGCCGGGCCCGGGGGGTTCTCTCCTTTAATTAAATCTAATCCCATTCTCTACAAATAGATGCCAAATTGCCTTTTCTTTTTTTTTTTTTTCTATTTTAAAAAATTTGTTTGTGTTGTTTTCACTCAAGAGCCTGTGGTCCTGGCATGTTTTCAAAATCTCGTTTTGTTCATGTCCACAGGATCTGGTGGTGCCTTCTCGGTGTCATTTAGAATTCAGCCATCAAGCATCCTGGGGTGTGAGTAGACATAGATTATGGACATGACCGTGCTGGCTGCCTAACATGTGCCTCTGTTTCCAACTTGGCTATCTTTGCCACATATCTGGCTCTGTGACCACACTGCCACCCAAGTCCCCTGGAAGGCAGGCCACTCTACCTCCCCTCCACATCTCTTTTTAGTTTGGTGTCTCTTCACCCAAGTCCTAGCGCATCTCTACATGAAGTGACCTCTGTCTCCAAGGAAGTGCCTGAATGATAATTATCAATAGGATCTGGTATCTCCTTAGCTCATAGGCGTGTACAGCCTGTAATAGACTCTGCTCTGCTGACTGACTCCAATGCTCTCCTGCTCAGTGAAACACCATGTGTTTCCAAAAGAACTTTGAAGCAACTTGAAGCTATAGATTGATAGAGCCACAAAAAAGGTTGGGAAACATTGTGTGCGTGTTTGTGTGTTTGTGTTTGTGTTGTGAAGATGGGGAAGGCGCTGTGATGAGGAAGGACCATCCGTGGGAAAGGGTGGGGAAGGCAGACACTGTCAAAAGGACAAGTTCTGTAGCAAAACTTATTTAAAAGGGAAACCTAATTGAAAATAAAGACTTTTTTTTAATCTGAAGAATAGATGTGACAACCTCCTTCACTTACATGACCCTAAACAACTCCCATGGGCAAGGAGGTGTCATTTCTTGGAAATTGGGTGGTAGCAAGATAATATTTCTAAGATCCAGCGTTCATCTCGGCAAAGCATCAGTCTCTGAATTGCATCTTTTCCTTTTGTGATCTTGCCTTGAAATTTCCGCTACTCTAAGCAGAGTACAATACAAAGCTTAATAGCAATGGGCACAATCTGTCTTTTGTCCACAGTACTGATCTGTGTCCAACAGTTATAGTAGAAGTGATTTTTTTCAATTATTATAAAACCAATCCATATTCATTGTTGAAAACAGAAAATACAAATAAGCAAAACAAAAATGCTAACAGTCTCATCACTATAGTTAACATTTTGGTATTTATTCTTCCAAACTTTTTCTGTGATAGTGATATATATATATATATATATATATATATATATATATATATATATATTTTTTGTACAAAAATGGGATCATACTATGCATAATGTGTGGTAATCTGCTTTTCTCACTCTATAGACATCGTTTCTTGCTAATAAATGTACAATATCTTTTTAGTGACTACAAAGCATACCGTTGTCTCACTAGGCCAAAAAAAAAATTTTTTTTTTAGCCGTATCCTTGTTGTTAAACATTGAGGCTATTTCCAAGTTTTAGGTTTTATTTGTTATAAAATTGCTGTGCACTTCCAATTATTAACCTTTGCAAAAATATCTAGAAGAGTAACTCCCAAGTTAAAATGTATGCAATTTTAAAGCTTGACTAGCCCATTGTCAAATTACCACCTTCCCTAGAAATTCTGTACAATTTACCTTCTCCCAACTCCTTCCGTTAGGGAAATATCCTTGTTCCCATATCCTCTCCAATACTGGATTTAATTATTTTCACTTTTTTGTAAATAAAATAGGTAAAAATAGTATCGTATTTACCTTTACCTTTTCTTTATTTTTTTATTACTAGGAAGAATAGTCATTTTTTTCAAAGCTCTATTAGTGATTTTCATTTTTTCTTTTGCTGAATTGCTTATTAATATTCTTTCTCATATTTAAAATGGAATGATTATCTTTTTTATTGGTTTGTATATTAATAATAAATTTTTGTTCATCATATATATATTGCAAACACTTTTCCCCAGTATGTCATTTTCCTTCTAACTTTATTGTGGTTTTTTGAAGTACAGAAAATTTAAGTTTTTAATGTAATTAAGTATGTTGTTTTTTGATATGGTTTCTGTGTGTCACGCTTTCAAACTAATCCCCACCTTAAAGCTATAATAATATTTACCTATATTTTTATGGATTTTTAATGTTTAAATTTATCTGGGGCCTATTTTAATCTAAAGTGTGAGGTAGAGTTCTAAATTTCTCCCCCAAATGTTTGTCAGTTGTCCCCCAAACTACCCACTAAATAATGCATTTGCTAGGAATTGCTACTTTTATAATACATTAAAGGTTTGCATGTACTTGGGGCTGTTTTTGACTATCCAATTCTATTCCATTAATAATTCTTATTTGGCTCTGGTTGTACAGAGTTTTAATTATTGGAGCATGTCCCCTGCGAATCCTGGCCCTTCCTTGCCCCCTATCTCACAATTGCTCTTTTTTTTTCTTTTTCCTTCTTTTAGTATTGTCCTGGCTATGTAGGCACAGTGATTCTTCCAGATGAAATGTTCACTGGGATCTTTAAGAGATTGGGTTGAATTTAAAATGATAATATTTACACTGTTGAGTCTTTCATTCAGGAACACAGTATGTCTCTCTCTATTTATTTGTTTGCATCTTTTTATGTCTCTCTATTTAAATTTAAATAATTTCTTTCTATATTACCCCAAGCATTTTTTGGTTAAGTTCATGCCTGGGTATTTCACATCTTGTGCTGCTTTTTTATGGTAGTTAATGCTGGTATGTGTTAACAGTGGCTTTTTTAGCACAGTCGATAAGAGCACAGGGTCAGATGGCCAGAGCTGGAATCAGAGCTCAGCTACTACTCCCTTGCTGTGTGACCTTGGTCAAGTTAACTTTTCTTAGCCTCAGTTTTCTGTTCTCATCTCATCTGCAAAATATACATAATAATACCTTGTACCTTTTTAGGGCTGTAAAGAATCAATGAGAAAATGGAGGTAAAGCACTGTGCTACAGGCCTGACATACAGACACATAAATGTGTGTCTGTTCTCATTTTGAAGATTCTACACTAGCAAATATTTGTCAGTTAAACAGGAGCTGGAACATTGCTTCAAATACCCAAAGGCCTTAAGAAACCATCTTCCAAAACCAACTTTCAGTTTCTGAGGAGAATGTACTTAAATATGGTTTGTTTAGAACATTATAGAAGTCTTTTGAAGGCTTGGCATGTAACATTGTTCACCTACCAGAACTCGTTTACTTAAAGCCGCAAAGAACACAGGAGTGCATGCAGGGCGCGTACTGCTACAGCTCTATAGACAATGAGCAACCTGACAAGCCCTGCCCCATAAGGGACAGTCCCTATGTGGGCACAAGTTGCTTCAGCTGTGAGACATCAGGTCATTCCTAGTGTTGTAACTCGGACATGCAAATTTTCACCAGTGGTTCATTGCTCTTCAGGCCTGTAAGTCAGTCAGGAACCTGGGACCTGGCCTACCACCTAAGTCTGGAGGCATTCTCTCTCACCTGCTCATTCCTTTATTTAGTTAGATATGTTTCCTGCTCTCTTTGTGGCTATTTATCATCTCCGTGAAATCATCAAATAAGCCCAGACATTTTTAACTCTGGCAAATTCTACAGTTCCCTGTGAAAAATATCTTGGCGAACCGCCACAGAACTGCAACAGATAAAATAAGTGATCTTGCTTCAAACTTCTATTGCTTGCCTTGATGTTAATTCATACGGTCTTAGTAATTTATCTATGACAGCAGCATTAGCGAGTAATGTTTCTCGGAGTCTCATATAGATATTTTAAGAATGTGGGGCAGTTTTCCCAAAAGCCTGTAGAGTAACAGGCCTCCAAACTGGAAAAACAAATTGAACTGATTAAAAAGCATCATTTTATTATTTTTAAGAAAGCATTTAATTGGAATGCTGCCAGTTAAATGAGGACAGATGCAACTCTAACACCTTGTTTCATAACTGCCCCTTTGTTGCAGTCAGGATGAGATAAACCATCTTTGTTCTCCTGACCAGTTTATCTTGTAACAATCCCTCTTTATGACCACAGCTAATGTTCCCTGTCTCTAAAGATGGCAATGAATCTACCCTCAACCTTTCTGGTGTTATGATGCTCTCTAACTTGGTTTTTGGGGAGTGCAGATTTCAGTTTAGCATAAAGTCACGTAACAATTAGATCATGCTCCTTTCTCTGCATCAATAATACCATCCCTTCTTCTTCTTGAAAGAGGCCTGGCTCGAGTGAAATTATAGAGGTCACACATCTGGCTAACAGCAGAGTCAGGCCTAGAATTAGTCCAAG